AAAAGGGCATGCTTCAAATGATATTAGTATTCTTTACTTAGATTATATATTCAATCAACAGAAACCTTTAAAGCGCTCAGAATGTTAGCTAGTTTAGTTAACCGTTGACTTACTTCTTTCTCCTGGCCAAAGAATTATGGACTTCACACAATAAATTAAAGACAAAAATTGTCATAACTGAGTCAGCTGAAAAGCACAGAGTCAACACCCACTCTTCCCAAAGCAAACAGCTTATGAGTTAATAAATATGACCAAGATGAAAAGGAATGTCCCATGTTTGATTAGCCATGTTATTAGTATGCGCATTTAGTTTTTGAGAATGCAGGTAGGGAGACAGCATTCAGTAGATAGCAACAAGACAATGCCCCTGACCTATCTGTTATTCAAAAGAAAGTGGGAGGACGAAAATTAGAGGATTAGGAGGCAAAACAAAACTCCTCTATATGCAAAAGGATAAGGGTAGCACCAGAATGATTCAGTGGTGAATGGTTTTTTCCTATCTGGTAATGTTATTGAAACACCTACCTGCTATTCAGCAGTATGTTGGAAACTTGCATATGATATGGCTCACCAAAGATTGGAATTCAGAAATTAAATGTCAAGGGTGCTAAGTAATATGATCTCATTATAAGATAATCATTAAGGCAATAGTTGCAAGCATGAGTCAAGATCATTGCCTGAATCTAAGATCGCTATAAGAATCCTAGGCTTTTAGAGCTGAAGTAGATCAAAGGTCACTTATCTGACCCTTTCACATTTCAGAAAGAGTTTGAGGCATTCTGCATAACACACAACATCTCATTAAACTCACTTATTCAACAGAAACATTAATGTCATTTTGTGCACCAGGCTCTGCTCTGGGTGCTAGAGATAAGGCGGAAACAAAATAGACAAAGTTTCTACTTTCATCAAGCTTTCATTCTAGCAGGGAAGAATAAACAAAATAAATGAGTAAAATAATGATGAGTTGGATTAAGAAAGCCCCAAGGAGAAAAGACAAAGTAGGGAAAGGGGCTGTGAAATATCATGGGAAGAAGGTAGGAATGCTCAGAAGGGAGTCATCTAAGTCTTCACTTTACACACTTTTAAGGAAAGAGTTTAAAAATATGGGATGCTAGCGATACAAATGTCCATAGGTAGATTATTCGAGGCAGAAAGAACAGCAACAGCAGACCCTGAGTGGGGACATGCCTGTCCCATCCAAGGAACACCAAGGAGTTCTGCTGGAGGGAAAAGCAGAAAGTGGTGAGGTCAGGAAAGCAACAGGGGCTGAGATTTTGCAGGGCCTTGGGAATTGTAACCCTTTTAAGTGAGATGAGAAGCCATTGGAGGGCTGGAGCAGAAGAGTGACATGATCATATTTATGTTCCGACAGAGCCATCCCACTGCCATGTAGACTGAAGTGGGTCGAGGGAGGAAGGAAGTTTTCAAGCTGAAAAGAACGGTAGCGGTCAGGTAGAAGAAACTGTTGAATTCTGTATATATTCTGAAGCCAGGACTAGCAGGATTTGTTATTGGACCAGATGTGGAGTATGAGAGAGAGGAGACAAGGAAGAGTCCAAAATGTTTGGCATGAGCAAGTGGAGAAATGGAGCTGCAATTTGCTGACCATAGGAGATCCCAGATGGGACGCACAGTAGACATTCAGATGAATTCGTCGGGCAGGCAGTTAGGTACTCAGGACTATGCAGGATGGTTTGTTTTTTTATTTTTTGTTTTTGTTTTTTTGAGACAGAGTCTTGCTCTGGCGCCCAGGCTGGAGTGCACTGGCACAATCTCGGCTCACTGCAATGACCACCTTCCAGGTTCAAACGATTCTCCTGCCTCAGCTTCCTGGGTAGCTAGGTAACAGACCCGCACCACCACACCTGGCTAATACTTTTTGTACTTTTAGTAGAGGTGGGGTTTCACCACATTGGCCAGGCTGGTCTGGAACTCCTGACCTCAGGTGATCTGCCCGCCTCAGCAACCCAAAGTGCTGGGATTACACATTTGAGCCACCGTGCCCAGCTTCAGGACAGTTTTTACGCCTTGAGAATGGACAAGATTGCCTAGTATATAAGAATAGATAGAAAAGAGAAATCCAAGGTTAGGTTTCTGGGGCACTCCAACATTAAATAATCAAAAAGAAGAAGAGGAACCAACAAAGTGGACAGAGAAGAAGTGACAATGACACACAAATAAAAATAGAATCTGTCCTGGAAGCAAAAGAAAAGTAGAGTGGTCAAATGGGTCGAATGCTGCTGTCAGGTCAAGACAGGCAAGGACTGTGGCTTGACCAGTGGATTAGCAATGTGAATGTCACTGGAGATCTTGAAGTGGGCAGTTTCAGTGGAGCAATGAGAGTGAAAACACGATAGGAGTTCAATCCAGAAGGGAGGACAACAACTGGGGAAAGCATTCTTCCAAAAAGCTTTCTTTACTCTGAAGAGAAAGAAGATGGAAGGGTCTAGTAGACCTGTAAAGTGGTGCTGTTGTCACCACGTACCCATGGTTTGATAGAGTAAAACAAATTGCCCAAGTTTTTTTTTAATCATATATGGTGAGAATCAGTTATTCTGAACCCAGAGCCCGTATTCTTAACCTACACTCCAAAACAAAGGGATGAAAGCAAGGGCTTCATTTATTGGTACACCTATGGGAACCAGCACAGGCCTATGGGCAAGAAGAGCCAAAAGAAAATTACGGAATTATGGAATACTTAAAGGGAACAGGCTATTGGTCTTAATTTTAAATTTTCTATATACTATATACCTATATCTAACTTGAATTTCTTAGATACTCTCTGCCCGGTGCAGTGGCTCATTCCTGTAATCCCAGCACTTTGGTAGGCCAAGACAGGTGGATCACTTGAGATCAGGAGTTTGAGACCAGCCTGGCTAACATGGTGAAACTCTGTCTCTACGAAAAATACAAAAATTAGCTGGGTGTGGTGGTGCACACCTGTGATTCCAGCTACCATGGAGGCTAAGGCATGAATATCATTTGAATACAGGTGGTGGAGGTTATAGTGAGCCAAGATCGCACTACGCACTCCAACCTGGGCAACAGAGCAAGACTCTATCTCAAAAATTAAATAAACTAATTAATTAAATAAAATAAATTTCCTAGATACTCCCATATATATAGCTTTCTTATGTTATTTTAATTGGAGTTCTATGAGGGAGAAAATGAGTGTCTTTTCTACAATTGCTAACATCCAACTGGAGAAAGTAGCTGTCCAGGCTCCATCTTCCAGGGAGGCAGAAACAGCATCCCTTGAGATTTTCAGTATTTATTCTCAATAATTTCCATACCTGATCTCTCATCAAATACATCCATTTATCCATACATTCATTCAACAAACATTCCTGATCTTCTATGTCCCTAAATTTCTTACAAGAGCAGAGGATGCTACAATGATTAAAAAAAAAAAAAAAAAAATCTTTGTTCTCACGAAGTTTATATTAAATGGGAAAGAGGTAGACATTTGAAACATAACAAGTAGAATTTTGGATGGTGTCAAATATAATCTTTAAACACATTATGGCATAGAGTAAAATCAGTGCAGGCTACTTTGAATAGGTGGGAAAGGAAAGTCTCTTCAGATGGTTGACATTGATTGAAACTGAATGAAGAAAAGGAAGCAGCTTTTTCTAGCTCTAGGGAAAGCTGGGTCCAAAAAAAGAACAATGAGCAAAAGGCCCTCTGAAGTCTTAGAAGAGCAAGCTAAAGAAGTCGGAAGTTTTAGAAGTCAACAGCACAGGATAAGCCAAATCCCATGAGGTGCAGATTGATTCTTAAGTATGATGGGAAGCTATTGGAGATCTTGAATTCAGATCCCACTGCCTAGATGGATTATAGGAGATTAGGGTGAAAACCAGGAATCCAGTTAAAAAGCCACTGGAGTAGCCCAGCCGGAGGGAATGGTGGCTGGAATGGAGGGTGCTCCCAAAAGACTAGGCTGGCAGCTGGAAGGGACGTCCGACCAAACACTCTGTGCTATAGAAAGAGGGATAATCTGATGGATTCACAGAATATTTTGGACTTAGAGCTGGCAGAATGGATAAAGGAATGCAAAAGGGGTGGGGGGGGCAGTAAATGATCAGAAGAGAGAAACAAAAAGCGACCACCTGACCACCTAGGTTCTGTCAAAAAACAGGCAGGGTGATGATGCCATCTACTGTCAGGGCACAGTCTGAGGAAGCAGCAGGACTGGGATGGGGCTGGAAGAAAGAAATCATGAGATCTCAGTGCAACAGGCACTTCGAAGGAAATGTTGACCAAGCAGTTGGATGTGTTGCTGGGAAAAGTGCGACATTCAGCCTTAAATTCAAGTCCCACCCCTCATAAAGCTATTCTAAACCAAACTGGTGCAAAGTATCTTACACTCCTTTGAAATTTTTATGACACTTCCTATCCAAACTTCACTGGGCAAGTGTACTGGTTATCTTCTGTCTTGTGGCACGTTTTGCAGATGTTTCTATTTTTAATGGGAGTTCTGAATTAGAAGGCAAGAGTTCCACTCCTATTTCTGTCCCTAATAAAGTGGGTGATCAACGGGTGTCACTTATTCTTTAAAGGTGACCAAGTCCTAAAATTAGAGTTAGGCAATGATTAAGTAATTAAGGTACTGCTTAAGTTAGTAACTGATAGTTAAGTAATTTATTTCATCGTTACTTCACTCATTGGCCTCAAGGACTATGGTCTTCTTTAAAGGTCCATGGCACAGAGCACAAAGCGTGTATGCAGTAGGCACTCAATAAATGTAGACGGACTGATGTGCACAGTCAAATTTAACTCTTTAAATTCCTAAAAGAGTAATTGCTCAAGTTTAGAGGAAGAGTTCAGCATCTGAAGGAATGAGGGGCCCAGGTTGGGAAGTGCCTGTCTTCCTGTCCCATCAGGGTACCCCTCCTCCCCCACGCTCCTCAGTCCCCGCGGCCTCCTCCGCCCCAGACCCTCCCAGTCCCGGAGCCCAGGGTCCCACATGGGGATGACTGGGCCGGGTCGGCGCGTACCTGGCGGGTAATAACGTAGCAGGAAGCTCTTGAGCTTCATTTTCTTGCTCTCCAAGGCCGGGCCGATGGGCTTCGTAGTCATGGAAACCGCTAAACAGCAGCGGGACGCGGGTGCGCATGCGCAGGTGGCACCGCGCGGTCCTGGAGCGCGGACCTGGGAGTTCCCGCCCCGCGGGCGGCTAGGGGGCGACGCGGGTTCCGGCGCGCGGGAGCGAGTGTTCTGGAGGTGCCTAAACTGAACGGGTGAGGGCACCTCAGAGGAGCTAGGCATGGCCAGGAACCGACGGCCTCGGCCACGGCTGGGCCGCGTGCACTGTTTCAGCACACTGGGTTTCCCAGAAGGAAGAGTGAGCGGAAAAGCCGCTGCTGGTTACCGCCCCGGGGCCCCAGCCCATGCCCTGTGCTTGTCCTCCCAAAAGAAAAATGACCCCGGCCGGGCGCGGTGGCTCACGCCTGTAATCCCAGCACTTTGAGAGGCCCAGAGGGGCGGATCACGAGGTCAAGAGATCGAGACCCTCCTGGCCCACATAGTGAAACCCCCGTCTCTACTAAAAATACAAAAAAAATAGCTGGGTGTGGTGGCACACGCCTGTAGTCCCAGCTACTCGAGAGGCTGAGGCAGGAGAATTGCTAGACGGCGGGAAGCGGAGGTTGCAGTGAGCCGAGATTGCGCCATTGCACTCCAGCCTGGCGCCTGACGACAAAGCGAGACTCTGTCTCAAAAAAAAAGAAAAAAAGAGCCGGGCGCGGTGGCTCACGCCTGTAATCCCAGCACTTTGGGAGGCCGAGGCAGGTGGATCACGAGGTCAAGAGATCGAGACCATCCTGGTCAACATGGTGAAACCCCGTCTCTACTAAAACTACAAAAAATCAGCTGGACATGGTGGCGCGTGCCTGTAGTCCCAGCTACTCAGGAGGCTGAGGCAGGAGAATTGCCTGAACCCAGGAGGCAGAGGTTGCGGTGAGCCGAGATCGCGCCATTGCACTCCAGCCTGGGTAACAAGAGCGAAACTCCGTCTCAAAAAAAAAAAAAAAGGAAAGAAAAATGACCTCAACTCAATATCCTTCATTTCTGGACTCTGTGCCATACATTGCACTAAGCAGAGTATGTACACACGCATGTAATCCTAACAAGGTGTGAGTTACGGGCCACTTCTTAAGGAGGAAGTAACTGAGAATTAGAGAAAGTGGCGAACTGCCGGAGGTCGCAGCCTAAATGAGTCGTGGAGGCAGGAATGAAAGGCAGGTGTGTCGGAACCTACACCAGAAAGCCTACACCTGTGCTCTCAACCTGAGCTTAAAGCTCTCCAGGCCTTCATGTGGTCTGTCCTGTTTCTTCCCAGCATCGTTCTTTGCCGGCCACGTTTACATCAGGAAGCTGCGGAGAGAAAGTCAGCCAGCCAGCTTGTCAATTTCCTTTAAGGAATTTGTCCTAAATCGGAATTTCCCAAACTTAAGTAATGACTATGTTGTCTGCACAACTATGAGCCATATACGCTCCTTACCACCTCGAGAGATCCATACCTAAGTTTTCTTTAAGTTCTTAAAATGCCTCTAGATTCACTCGCTTATTTTACTTCACTTTTTAAAATGTAATTTTAAAAATTGCCTTTACTTTTACAGTTACTGGCTGTTTACTGAAAATCGTATGAAACTTAATTCCACCTGTGAAGTTTCTATTTCTAAATTTAAAATTATTTGAAATTTTCAGTAAATAGCCAGTAACTGTAAAAGTAAAGGCAATTGTTTAAAGGTGTTGAATTGGTTGTTAAGGGCCGAGGTGGGAGGATGGCTGGAGCCCAGGAGGCAGTGGTTACAGTGAGCTGAGATCACCCCACTGCACTCCAGGCTGGGTGACAGAGCCAGACTCTGTCTCAAAATATATATATATGGATGTAGTCTATCTATACATACATATTTTTATATTGAGAGAGAGAGAGGAGAGAGGGAGGAAGGAGTCATCCTGGGGCATCCAGATTCTGCATGTTTTGAGGCTGGGCAAGGTAAGGGAGGAGTAGGCTTCCAGCTGCAGCTGGGCTTGGTAGATGCCATTTGGCTCAGCTTCTTCTGGAGAAAGGCAACATGGGTGAAATGACTGCTTTACCGGTGTTGGGGCCACACTGAAAGCAGCAGATAAAAAGAGAGGTGCAGTCCTCTCCTAGAAAGAGAAGACACGGATGCTCAGAGCCAGGCAGGAGCAGTCTGCTGTGCACAGTCTGCTTGTCACAGTAGGCTCTAGAGCAGAGGAACTGCATCAGGGTTAGGGACACATGGACCAGGCATTGCATTTACCCTCTTCCTCTGCCTGCCTCCACCCTCACAGCAGGACTCAAAAGCATCTGATCTTACCTGGGACTTGAAAACTGACAAGATCAGGGCCACTAATTCTATCATTCAATAAATATGTATTAAGGACCTGCTAGTACCTAGGATGCTACTCTTATAGGGATCTAATTCTGAAAAATATTTCAAGGCAGTCATTCACAGAAAGAATCAGACTTCGGGTGACTTTGAAATGACTATAAGTTGCCAGACACGGTGGTTCACGCCTGTAATCCCAGCACTTTGGGAGGCCAAGTTGGGTGGACCATCTAAGGTCAGGAGTTCAACACCAGCCTGGCCAACATGGTGAAACTTCATCTCTACTAAAATTACAAAATTAGCCAGGCATGGTGGCACATACCTGTGATCCTACTCGGGAGGCTGAGGCAGGAGAATCACTTGAACCCAGGAGGTGGAGCTTGCAGTGAGCATTATGCTATTATACTCCAGCATGGGTGACAAGAGTGACTCTGCCTCAAAAAAAAAAATAAAGAAAGAAAAAAAGAATTGTAGGTCAAAGGGAGACAGATCTCTAGGTGTGATCAAATTTACATTCACCGATGGGTCGATACCAGGAGGTGGCAGGCTGATAAACATCTAGCACAGCTGATAAACAGCATTGCCACCGAGATTCGATTAGCACAGCTGATAAACAGATTTGCCACTGAGGCATTAGAGCAGAATGCCTGACTTGAAGCCTGGCTCTACCGCTATCCCGACATGGGATCTTGGGCAAGGTCCGTCACCTCTCTGGGCTTTAGTTTCCTCATCAAAAAGCTAGAAATGATCATGGTATCCAATTCATAGAGTTGTCACTATGAGCCTGACTTACTTGAAAACATTCTGTAAGAAGTAAAGACATTGATGATAATGATAAGTATGATTACGCTAAGTTTGTTTGAAACTGAGGAAAGGGTATATCCATATCATTTTCATTTCAATTGATAATCTAAGTCAACAATTGCTCCAATTGCAATTTGGAATCTTTTGTGTGATCCTTCACAAGTATACTTTACTAATTATGTCAAATAGTGTTACTATAGTTCGCTTAAATATTAAAATTAGCTTACATTCTTTAAAACAAACTATTTTCTCTGTGGCCTCAAATAGATTTATTTTCTCAAGTAAATGGTCTAGAGGATTTAGAAGGGAGGGATGGATTCCAGCTGCAGCTGGGCTTGGTGGATTCCATTTGGCTCAGCTTCTCCTGGAGAAAGCCAACATGGGTGAAATGACTGCATTACTGGCATTGGGGCCACGCAGAGAGCAGCAGATAAAAAGAGAGGTGCAGTCCTCTCCTAGAAAGAGAAGACACGGATGCTCAGAGCCAGGCAGGAGCAGTCTGCTGTGCACAGGGTTTAAAGGTGGCCTCATCACAGCAGGCCCTGGAGCAGAGGCACTGCATCAGGGTAGGGGCACATGGACTTACCAAGCTAGAGACAATCCAGAGAAGAACAACAGAGGTACAGAAAGACCAGGGATATCTGGAACATGAACCAGAGGCCCTGGGGTGAGTATAATGCCACCTTTTGTGCCTGGCACACCATAGGTCCTTGATTAGTTAGTGATTATTTTCATTATGACTTGGAAGAGGAAGTAATTCACTATATGCGAAACTGGAGGGCAGCTCTAAGGGAGTTCGAGTCATGGAGGCAGATGTCAGCTCCTTATAAAAAAACTCCATGCCAGCTTGTGCAGTAATAGACAAATAGACTAAGCTGTGTCCAAAAGTATGAGGATTTCCCAGCATTAGAAGTGTTCTAGCCAAGGCAATTTGACCAGCTGCCAAGATGATTGTAAAACCTGATACTAAGTCGCCTGAGAGACAGAGGACTAGATAAATTTTGCCTTTCATTTCTGTAGTTCCATGATCTTGTGCTCTCTGTGTATCTGCGTGTTTTCACAAGAAGATAAATGTGGAAACGTATGAAACACCGTGTTGCTCGTTGGAAGACAGAAGTTCCAATCCTGCCCTTTCATCGATGACCTTTAAGCAAATCCTTTGCCCTTCTGACCCTGTTACTCAACTGCACATGATTTTCGCTCATTCCATTCAGCACTCACTCACCATGACTCACTTATTCCCGCTTTGGCGTTGATTCTTGTCGTTCCTGCCACCCAGTAAGCCTCCCACATCAGCTGCGTTAAAGCCTCACCCAGCGAGGGTCACCTTGCCCACTGCCCACATGCTCAATTTGATTTTCTGCAACAGTATGTGCTGGGTGTGGAGTTCACATCACACACTCCACAATGTCCCCGCCATGCAATGCCTGCCTCCAGTCCCTATGCCAGCAACTGCATCTGGCCACTTTCAAGTAAACTCACAGGACCTAGTGATGGTTCATTCATTTTGTCTTGAAAACTCCCTTCTATTCAGTGTTGTTTATTTGATTTTTCTTCCTCTGACAGGGTTTATTATAAACTCCTGAAGGATCTGATACAATAGCCCCTTGCGGATTGTTGGAGAAAAGGTCTTAAATTCTCAGCCTTGGTTGTCATTGGCTCTGTGTTCCTGCTTGCATTACAATGGCCTCCTCAGCTAGTCAGGGTGCCTCCTACCATCTCGCTGCAGCAACTTGCTGAAATATCACTGCACCCTGCTTCAATCCCCAGCCGACAGTCTGCTGTGAACCACTTCTACAGGGTCTCTCCTCTTGGCCATGGGTCCCTTAAAGAACCTATAGTCCCTGGTGACTTCCATGCACCTCTCTGGGGTCCGGTCAGCTCCTAAATACCTAAACTTGCCAATTTGACAGATAAATTAGTCTCCTCTCTCCAGCCTGCATCCGGCTGCCATTTCTACTCAATGTCCACA